TGTTCGAAGTGGCCCTCCATCCAGAACTCATAATATGGAAAGATAATACTTACCAATGGGGATTCAAATATATATCCCAAGGGAATCCATGAAAGGAAAGCATGTAATGTTGATAATGTTGCACGGATAAGCTCAGTCCTTTGAGATGCTGATAGCACAAATAAGCATAGCTCATGGATGAGTTGAAACTCGCTGTGAACATGAAAAATATACAGAAAAGAGATCAAATTAAAAATCATGTTAACATAAAATCACTGTTTCAGTGCATTCCTAAATAAATTGTAATCTTGAAACTCAAAACAAGAATTGAAGCCTGTGAAATATGATATATAATTTTTTTTATATACGTGTGTCTGGACCAACTTGCGCACATCTCGACTAATCACGGGCCAACCGTCTGACCCTACTACATTTGGTTGACAAGGTAACTCGTAGGATATTATTAGGTAGGTGACCACCATGGTTTGAACTCATTCCCTCTAAGCCCTTTGCTATTTACATTAGCCCTTATTGACCACTAGGTCATCCCATGATGGTTAATGTATTATATAATAATTAAAAAATGAACAATATATACACACGCATATTTATGTATATAACTTACATAGGTTACACACAATATGGTGTATAAGGATTCAGGACAAATTACGCAGAAAACTAATGACAAGAGATTGGCCCAACATATCGGGAAAATTACAAGCAATTTACCTGTTCAAAGATTGTTTAAGTTCCTTGATCTTTTGTTGTGTCATCTCTCCCCTTGAGAAATCAAATACCTCTTCGCTTAATAGCTAAAAAAATTATAAAAAAAGCAAAGACTGTCATCCATATAAAATACAACAACATATGGTCAAATAAACAGAAGTTCAGAAATCTACTTTTAATATCGCCATGCAGTTCTCACAAATTGTTTCACTAGTTTTAGCTGCTGAAACAAGATCTGGAATAAAGCTTCGCCATCTCGCCGGCCATTCATGCTTCAAAATCTGATGTCAATAAAAATATTACTCCATAGGGAAAGCTCTGGTAAGAATTAGTCATATCTAATCTAAATATCATCCCCAATAAGTGCACCGAAAAAAAAGATATCATCAACCTCACTGAGCAAGGGCCATGTCATGTGAAGCAATATCACAAAAATCTCTTTCTTTAATGTGAAACAAACTTTCCATTGACTCAAGTATATAAGAGGAGAGAAAACACTCAAATCCATAGAAGTTTCACATAAAAACTACTCCAATTACCATAAGTACAAAATGAACCATAGCTGGAAAACATAAGTATGCATCAACATGACTTTGAGAATTTAATAATCTCCTAAAGCTTGTCTCACTTCTAGTTTTCCCCTCAAAAGTTCTCTAGTCTCATTCCAACCAGATTTCCTATGGTAGCCATGATTTCACAAGACCATCGAATTTTAAGCCTCTCTTTTAAGAGATGTTCATAAATAGGTTGCTCCACGCAACCATAGTTGTTGTTGTGGACTTGGCAAGAGATACCAAAAGTATTAAAGAGTTTAGCACATCCTCTATGGGCGTAAAATAAAAATGAAAGCGTATTAACTGTCTTCCAGGTAACGGTTGTAAATAATACACATAGGGAAGAGTAAAGAACAATAGAGCTGTCCTCGTCAAATTAAGCCAACAGTGTGACCGTCAGTAGGACCACACAGAAAAACTTTAATTAATAATGAAACACCTTAAATTATTCCTCTCGAAAACAAGATTGATACAAAAACGGTGGGAGGAACTTAAACATGCAAGAGGGAAATGATCCGATAATGGTGCACACAAATATGCGAAAAAGAAATTCCCAATTCCCGTTGAAAAACAAAAATCCACACAAATCACAAACTAACGCAACTGAAGTAGAGTAAGTCCTTAAAGGGATAAAAAAAACTTTCAGGCTTTCTGGGATAAAACTAAGAGATACCTGGACCAATATGATATTAAGCTTGTTGACATACAGTCTTTCCACTCGAAAAGAAGCATCGTTACTTGAAAGCTATACAGGATCAAGTTAGAACATACCCTTAGTTCTCAGCATGAATAGAGAAGAAATATATGATATTCAATAACAAACAACAACGACAAAAAAAAGGTAGGACAACACAGTTCGTACCTGCACAATCACATCAGAGATATAATTCTTCATTCCATCTCTTTGTTCAACAGGTAACGCATTCCATCTATATTTTATTACACCTTCTAGGACCTGTCGATATGGAAACCGGCATATATTATTGTATTTGAACAACTTGTAATAGAATGTAAGAGCGTAGTTGTCTGTCGAGAATTATAGGTTCAACAATCCCGCCTTTGAAGGGGTTTGGGGAAGATAAGATACCATGTTACGTGACCGAATAAAAGGTACAAGAGGAGGGGGTTAAGACCATAGAGAGATTGATCAATAGTGATAGCAATAACTTTAACATGTTCAAGTGTCACAGAGGTCATTCCAAACTTGTTTAGATAAGAAACTAAATTCCACTCCAAAAATACATGCAATATACACATCGTTTTATTATAATTTCATCAAACTAAATATTTTGACGTAATATTGCAACATACCTGTAAGGCAAAGAACTTGGTGTTTAAGTTCTTAGTATTTTGCAGAATGTGCACAACCTGCAGCCACATGTCTGCATTATTTTGTAGGTCCCTTAAAATTTGATCTGCAGCACTCCTCTGAATAGACGTAACATGCAAGGGAAGAATTAGAAGAAGATACTCTAAACAAAAAATAAGCTATCGTAATAAAAGACGTAAGACAGGGCAGGGATATTCCCAGTCGTGGAAGCTGTGCGAGGTATTGGAACTCTGAATAGATAGTGTTTTTCCAGGTGGGCTCCCAGTCCCACTAAGAGTGTGCATTGCATGGTTAATAACACAACACAGATACACGTCAACTACCCAGAATGTATGTAATGTATTTCCCAACTCCATAGCACAATGCAACAATCACGATAGGAACCAAGGCAATGACAGGCGCTCACATGAGACGGAAATTTCAGCAGGCAGACGTAAGTTACAAGGGAACATTTTCGCGGCTTGAGGCGGAGGATATGTCATTCTGATAAACACAGAGTCATCTAGCACGACGACTAAAACCCTAAATTGCATACCTAAAACCACAAATACTAAACCCTAAATTTTCGAATTTAAAAAATAAAAGTCTGATGGAAGTCCCAAGTCCCAGTGTGTTCAGTTGAGAAAATGCCCTACCTTTTGGAAGTGAAGGAAAGATAAAGAGAAGAGATAAACAAGTGAGGGAAATCACCTCTTCCTTAGATCCGGTGCCATAGAAGGCGGCAACAGTTGCATCGAGCAAAGGGACGTCAATCGGCTGGCTCAAATCCCTGAGCTTCTCTGCTGCCATGGGTGAAGATCACAGTGAGAACTCCGGAATATGGAGTGGGGGAGTGTACGGAGTTGCCAAACCCTAGAGAAAAATGAGAGAGTGGGAAGAAAAAACTATGGAGAAAGGGAGGGAAAAAAATAGAGGGAGGAGAGAGAGAGATAGGAGAGAGAGAGAGGGAAACGGAGGACTGCTTAAAAACGAAGCAGAGAGAGTGTCAAGGGTTTATCGAGACACCCAGTTCCAACTTCGAACTGTGGTTTTTATTTCTCTCTCTCTTTTTCTTCTTTTCCGTTTTTCTTTTCCTTTTTATTATTGTTTTTTTTTTTGTTAGTATTCAAATTACGTCGGCCAAATTTTCAATACCATATAAGAGATAAATAAGAGATAAATCGACATTTATGTATTATTATAAAATATTGATAAATATAAAAAGTATCACTAATGTTAATATAATATTAATCATTATTATTTTCTTAAAATATATTAAATAATTACTATTTTATTTTTAATTTATTTAAAAGTTGTAAAATGATTATTTGTCTGTTCAAGTATTTTTTATATGTAATTTTTCATAAATATTCGTCCATATTGATATTTTTAACAATACTTTTATAAAAGTGCGACCTCGATATTTTAAATATTACGTATGGGATTTATGTTTTTTACGGTCTAATGAAATAAAATTATCTTAATTATATTTGGATTGACTTTTCTTATCCAATTAAAAAGTATATTATGACATTAATTTATTTTGTTAAATAAGTAAAATACATTTGGTAATTTTAATATTTATTTTTTAAGGTTAGTAGACTCAAAGTAGTTTAATGACTATATATTTAGAACAATTTATAAAATTTCAAGGATCAAAAAATAAAAGTGTACATTTTGAAACTTTCGATCAAATAAAACTCTAAACCTGAGGGACCAAAAATGTATTTTCCTTTTTTTTCTTTCACATACTACAAATATAATAAAATTGTGAATCATAATTCAAAATGTCAGGAAAGTTTGATTGGTTTTAGTCGCAGTCAAATATTAGACGAAACAATTCACATGGGAGAAAAACTCTATATCTGTGTTAGACATTTTGTTTGTAGGCTAAATTATAATTTATACCATGGTATTACAATGCAACTACTTGAGCATAAACTCAATCTTCATTTTACGCCACGTCAATTCTCCTTTCGTCATAAGACGTGAAATAGTTCAAGGAGCTGAAGATTCAAACATCCAACTTTTAGTCAATAATATATATCTTAGCCAATTGAACTCAACCTATTTAATCATTTGATGAGTTAACAAATACTGTTGATGAGAAATTATACATGGACTTGTAGTTAATAACATCTTTGTAAGTAAAATATACATTTTCACTGACCATTGAAAGTAAAATAGATAGGTTTTCTTAGTTAATAACAAGTTTTGATGGATTCAGTTTTGTAAATTAAGTCACATCATGCGATATAACACAAATTGGTTAAGACATTATAATTTTGATAAAAACATTATAATTTTGATAAAAAGACGATTCAATCCTCATTCATAGGTCTAACCCAAAGATTGAAAGAACAAAAAAAAAAAAAGGAAAGCCTCCACCAAGATGTGCAAATAGCCAAAAACAAACTTCCTCCAAACCCATATAATAAGACAATACTTGACATTAGAAATATATTTCTATACAAAGTTAAACAGATTCTCAGCATTGCTCTTCAACTCATTCTGTAATGCTCTCTGTAGTTTAATCAACCATTGCATAATCCTAATACATTTCAAATCTATACTTCTACTGGAAGGGCGGGGAAATAGGAAGAGGAGAATTAAATGACTAATCAAATACAGTGAAAGTTAAAAAAACATCAGAAGCAAAGAATTTAACCTGAGCCAGCCAACCACTTAAATCAGTTTCAAGCTAAATGAATTTGATTGCATGAAGTTCGATTGGCGATGAACTATCATCCTATATGATCCCATTCCAATGATAATAATCCGAAGGCCGCGGCAGTGTGAACATGCAGAATATACAGTCATGCAGAGATTAATGCACATACAAGACACTTGAGCTCGGTAAAACTGATCAATGTTCGTGTTTGACACGTGCTTTTATAATTCCAGGGAGTGGTGGTGAGGTTGGAGTTCTAACGGGCGTGTTAGACATTGAAGGAAGAGGGATCTGGGGTTGTTGGTACATGCCTGACATGCTAGAACCCTCCCCGCCATCGGGAGTAAAATTTTGCGCTGTATTATCGCACTGCGGTCTGTCGCAAAATTTCATTGCCTTCAAAACGTAATTGTCATCATGGAGCTCAAAAGGAGTACTGCAAGAACAGCACGACACAATAAAAATCAAACTAGTTTCAGAGCTCCAAGGTTCAACATACGCTTGTCCTGAAGCTAACACAAATCCTTATAATAAAAAAATTAATTTAAAAAATTAGGTTAATTATAAAAGTTTCAAGATTTTGTCTATTAGTCCCCACACTTGTAGAAGTTTTTAAGTCACATGAACTTTCAATTTTATGTCCAACAAATCTTGGGAGTTCACTAATAGACATAACTCTAAACGTTCTAAACCTTTAGAAACTTTATGAAGTTCAAAGACTAAGAAAACACAACTCTAAACGTTCTAAATCTTTAGAAACTTTATGGAGTTTAAAGACTAAGACAACGCAACTCTAAAAGTTCAAGTAATAAACTTACAATTTAACCCCAAAAGAAAAGTAAGAATATAGGGAGATACTCCCAATTATACACCTACGACCAGAATGTAGCCTTACCTGTTGAAGTCAAAATGCACCAGCTGCATATCTTCGGATATTTCTATCTCCACAGTTGCATGAGGCCGTGTCTACAAATTCAATATTGCCAAGGAAAATAAACAAATATCATGATTCTTTGAAAGGATAAAAATATTTCTAGCATCTATATCCATTCTCGTAGTACATTTCTAAAAGAATGCATACATCTATTATTGGAGCTTAAATACCAGATTTTGCATGCTACTACTAGATGATAACACCCCAGTGGAATGAAACATAGTTTGGATCACTTTCCAATAGACTGAAAATGCTCCAAAGTTCGTCAACATTTTCTTAGATGAGAAATTATTTCATAGAAATTTTGTTAATATTTTGAGCACTGGTGAGAGGAATCCAATGCTGCTGGGTATTTACATCCCTAACAGCAAAAATTTTTGGTTTTCTTGTGGAACTCCCACACGAAAAAGAATACGAGTATTTAATCCCTACAGCAACAATAAAACCGGATGAAAGTTTGAAGCAAATTCCTCCATGAGCCGATGCTAAAAGGGCAGAAAAGGAAGAGCCGGTTTATAGAATTCCTTTTTTACACGTTCATCCAACTTGGAGAAAGGCAAGAGTTGGGACTTTTTTGTCTAAGTTATATCTTGGTATTTATATCTCCCCGACAGAAGAGTCCAAACAAACATCATTATCTTTTTAGGATATGAACACCTCCAAACAGCACTGCACCCCTACTAAGAGCCCAAAATTTTGAAAATCACAACATAGAATCTCAAATGCAAAAATGCAAGTTCCAATTAAATGTTACTAAAGGCTAAAGCATCCAACTTCCATAGTCTCAAAATCAAATTCATAAACATTAGAAGGGCGACAGCCAATAATATTCAATGTCCAATGACATTCTTTTTCCCATTTGATTACTTTTTAAGTAAGGTGGAGGCATGAGGAGGACGTTGACAAGAGAAATGGCTGTCAATTTGAAAAAAAGTAGAAGAATGCAAATTCTATAAAGTTTCAAATGCATATATACAAGCATGTGTTCACACTTCCTCACATCTACAAGCATATATACAAGCATGTGAACATACACACACCACAAGTTTCAAATGCATCTGCAGTCTGAAAATATAGAATGATATAGAAAAACACAGCAACTATGATAACTTTTTGAAATTTCAGATTCTGAAGACTATAGTGAACTACTTGTTCAATAAAAAGAGCATCATACTTATCATATAGTTTCTGAAGAAAATATAAAACAATTGAGAGTCTACCTGCACCAGGATGAAAGGTAAAGACACGCCACCACTGGGAGCATTCTCAGAACTGAATAACTGTTCATTTCGCTGTATTAGGTTCTGAAGGCCTACATACTGATAGCCAGAGACCATTAGCTGCAGTCTACTGCTTGAATGAAATAATTGAAATATGTACAAAAAAAGTTACATAAAATACTGTCATCACTATATCAAATCAATAACTTTGTTTTTGGATTGAAGATAACTCAAATTAAATTAGCTCACAAAAAAAGTTATAGAAGAAGCAAAGTCTGTATATCCACCCAATAATTGACATGGGAGATAAAGAAGAAAGGCACTCCAATTGGCAAGGATGGAATAAGACAAGAATTATTAGAAGTAGCTACCAAGAAGAAGCATGAAAGCAATCAAGATCTTACAACTCCCTCCTAAGGAAGCATCCTAAGACTGTAAGAGGAAAATGTCATGCTAATCTTTAGAAATATACAGCAACAATATAATGACAGCTATTCAAACCTGTTCCTCCAGCTCTTGCAAGTATGCTGCTTTCTTTTCAATCCTATTTCTAAGTCCAAGACGCTCAGCCTGCATCATTGAATAACAATATATAAGCAGCGAGAATTAATGTCTGATGCGTCACATAAGAAATGCAGACTGCAGTGAAACCTTTAGTTCTTCAATATCATTCAGGCTGGTTCGTGGTAGACCCTTCCATTGTATCTCTTTCTTATCTTTTGATATAATATCCATTGCCATGAGAACATTCAGTGCATCATATACCCTTCGCCTGATGTTTTTTTCGTCGTACTGTTGCTGTTGGATCAAGTTTAAAAAAGACTAAAAGATATAATGACATTTACCCTCCCGCACAAAAGATACCAACACAAATGTGAAGAATATGAAACCTGATCTGGGGATGCAACACTGTTGCCAGGGTCAGCAAACTCTGCCACAAGTTCATCTGCAACCTGAAAAGTATTCACTTCTCAGACTGAGACTATGGTAAGAGAGAACACACAGACTTAAAAGTCAAACCAAACATCATGATGCACTAATGCATCATATGGTTCAATGCTCGTTAAAGCACCTTCCCATTAACAACTTGAGACAACCATAAACAGTGTGCACTATCATTTTCTTCCTCAGACATTTGCAGCACCAATTTAAATCTTGGCACATCGATGAACAGAGACTAGCAATTTGGTTTCCAGAAGTTTGACAGGTTTCAATAGAAGACACCAAAAATTTTCACATATCGACTAATTTTAGAATTATATAGAAGTTAACAAGAGTTTAGGGAACGAAAGCCTCGGTAGCAACCAATAAGTATTACACTGGAAGAAGAGAGTGGAAGGGAAGGTACGCGTGACCACACTGAATAGGAAATAGCACTCAACAAGCATTGGCAAAAAAAGTTTCTAAGTAAATAAACCAAAACAATAGCCGGCAGTTCAAGAAATAGTGAGAAACAAAATTTTGTTAACGGGTTCTAACAAAAAGAAAAGAAAAGAAAAGGCATCAACATGGCTGGGGTCTAGTGAAGCTTTTATCTGAACGTGATCAATGAATATTTTAACAAACCAACGAAGCTGAGAAACAACCTAACCTCGTTGTAGGTCGTTCTTCCCTTACTCTCCACTTTCTCGCAAACTGCATACAATTGAAATAAGTCAAACGAGAAAATCCTATCATGCATCGGGATCTACCAGTTCAATGCATGCCGTGTCACAGGACAAGTAACATCAAATCCAAAGAAGGCAAAAGTAACAAACATCGCTCAAGTCAAACACCTTTCATGCTGAATTGGCGAAGCCCTCTTCCACTCTTGTCCCCTCCAACGGCTCGCTGACCTCTCTTTTTCTTCACATTACTATCTCAAAACGACATCACGACAAAGAAATCAAATCAAGCCCACGTATCAATTCGAACAGTCAACTCGAAAACTACAAAAATTCACAGCCTCTACAGCAAAACTCAATCAACCCCATCACTCAGAGATTCTTCGAACATTCACAGGATACCAAGGAAGACAAAAATTGAGCAGAATCATAATAGAAGACTCACGCAGTAGGTGGTTGGGAGCCGGCCTCGTCGCCGTGAATGTCGAGGTTGTTTAATCGGAGAAAAGTGTTGTCGCTGGCAGGGGTGGCCATGGTCTGCTCGCTGCGGCTAGATGGAGAACCCACACTGCCACTCATGGAAACGGACTGACCCGAAATTGTTGTGGCGCCGGGGCCGCCAGGAAGGTCGTCGTCGTCGTCTTCCCGGCATGGCTGCTGGGTCCTGGTACCCATGGCCTGGAACTCGCCCAGAATCGCGTATTGGGCGAGATGAAGCTCTGGGGAGATGGGAGTGAATTGAGGGTTGGGCGAAGGGACCAGAGGCAGAGGGTTTGGAAAGGAGGGAAAGAGGGTTTTCTTAAACAACGATGAACTGTCTCTTCCAATGGGAAACCATTACCATTAGCTTTGTGTTTTTTTTTTTTCTTTCTTTCTCTTGTGTAAGTTATACTTTTAAGCCAACAAAATAACAAATAAAAAACAAAAAATACGTTAATTATTATTATTTTATTAATTCAACAATGTGGGGTGTGGGATTCAAACTATCGAATTTTTTTGACAAAGATATATATTTTTTTAGTACAACAACGTGTGGACGAACCTAGGCACTTGACGCAACTTTTCAATGTTAACCTGCTTTGCTTCAGGGARGAGTGGATGATCTGCCAGCTCTTGCAGAAATTTGTCAAAGTTGTTGCGAACCCCCAATTCCGCAGTGGCATGAGAGACAGCAGCCTTAAGGTCAACCCAGATTTCATCTAAACTCTGTGCACATTAGCTGAATTCATTCCACTCCAAAAGAGCCTTAGACAGAAAAGCAAAACGAAGAAGAGGTGGCTTTCCAGGGTTTTAGTAATTGATCGTGATATATGTAAAAAGTTTGAAATTAGTTTTTTTAGTTCGACAACATGTAGGCCGATGTTTTTAGTACAACAAATGTGGGTTTGAACCAAACAAGATACCTTGTACTAATATATACTCGTGTTGGCTGTATATATTGAAACTCCGACCTTTTAATTGAACGTATATGTCTTAATTGAGTTATGTTTGAGTTGGTAAACTTAAAATTAGTTTCATCATTTTAATTTATATGCATTATGTTAGATTTATTATCGTTATCAAATTCTATCCCATTTTCTTTGGTATGGATATCTTATCACTTAAAGTAGGTTTAGATTGATTATTATTTGTYATCTCCTTAAACTTTATGTCTAATGAAGTGAGAAAAAACCCAAATTAGCTTAGTTTTAAATGGGACATAAACTTGTTATCCCATTTAATTTCGTACAAACACGGTTAAAGTGGATGAGATTTACTTCTTCATATATAATTTTTTTTAGATAAGTAATACCAATTTTGTCCGTATCAAATATTTCTTTCAATTTATTTAATTGCTACACCTGTACTCGCCATTTATTTTTTTCAACCTGCAGAGATTGAGATTCAAACTTCCGACGTTGTGGTCGATGATATATCAATTAACTAGATGAGCAATGCTCAATCGTGTCATATTGAGCACAACTGGTGAAGACGTATATCATTGACTAAAATATCATAAATTTGAATATTAACCCTTACATATCGTTGGAAAAAAGTGAATATTATTGAAATACTTTCATTATATACATTATCAAATGAGATTTCTATATTTGACAAATTGTATGGGTAATGCCAAATTACAAGTCAGGCTCAAAGTTACAAATAAAATAAATGAGAGGAATTTTATAATTATAGGATTTAGCGCTTCCACAAACGATAACATACATATATATATATTTTGAGTACAACAATTGCAGGAGCAAGAGATCGAATCATCAACTTTAAGGATGATAATAGGCGTCTTATCTACTTAAGCTATGCTCGATTTCGAACTTCTCTACATTGAAAATACTAGAATGATCTTCATAAATAACTCATAACCAATTAAAGCGACGAAGTGCCGCAGGCATCAAATATTCGGTTGACCCATTGCCCTGCCTACTTATTAAGTTGAAAACAAACGGCGAATACACATCAACAGCGAAAGATCTCAGCTCTTAGGTACCTAGAACATCAGTACAATCAAATTCAATCTACAAATTTAGAACTTTCAGTAAGAGATGGTATAGGACATATCTCTATTTTGCTTCAAGTTCTGCAGATAACTTGAGTTTAGAGGCACTTAGCTTCAATTTCCTCGAGGGTCAGTCCCTTTGTCTCCGGTACAATGAAGAATATAAAGATGAGAGACAGAATGGCTATCACGCCAAAAATGAAAAACAGAATTCCAGGTCCAAGCAACTCCTGCAATCAAACAAAAGCAAATAAATTTACTTCAACCATCAAAGACCTTATTCATTATCATCAACAAACAGGTAGTGTAATGTCATTAATATATTTTTTGGAGCAGATATTTGTTAGAGAACATTTGTGTGACCTTACAATATTTGGTTGTTGGGAATTTCATAGAATTTTAATAGCCTACTATTGTGGGACTCGAATGCATACTTCGACAATGCTTATTTTTCTTTCAACTTTTTTCACTTGCTCGAATGATGACGTCATTGATGATTGTGTGCGATTGCAAGCATTGGATAAACTTATACTCACAACTATACCTCAAATGCAAATGTAAGCTAGTTTGCTTGAAAGATGCAGTAAGTAGCTAATTGCATTATGTATGTCTTTGTGAAATTTTGTTAGTACAGCAAATATGGGGATTTTATTATTAATTATACAATGGCTATTCTAATCTTAGAATGTTATGATTATGAAAAATTTTAGGATTTAATATATGGACGCACCTCTAAGGGAGAAAAGGCAAACGTCACAATAGCATTTGATCCAAAATTCACAAGCACTGCTATGCTGAGCCCCCGACCTCTCAGTCGCAGAGGGAAAATCTCTGAAATCATTAACCAACCAATGGGACCAAAAGACAGCTGCAAAAAAATTCACTTATCTCAACTCAAACTCCTAAATTTAAAGTAATTCGAAAACTTATTAAAACCACAATCATTTAGGTATGCCTGCAATAAAACATTTATCTGCAGTTTAAATTACCTTGATTGAGAGCATTCATGCAAAGAATATAACATTAGCTCATATTTTGATGGTCTTCGTCTAGGAAGTATATCTCAAAATACATATATACATATGTAGTTTTTTTTTAGTTCAACAAATTTGGGGGAGCATAGAATCTTCCATCCTTAAGTTAAGTGTCTTAACCACGTAGCTACGCGGATATAGCTGAGTGATTTACCACGTGTTTTATCTTTATTTATAAATTTTAAACATGTGGGACAGCAAGGGATATATTTGATTGAGAAAAGATAACTCCATAATCAAACTTGCAAATATATACATTATAGAACTAAGAAATAAACAAAAGCAAAAGAAGAATAAAAAGAAAAGAAAGAAAATGGATAAGTTCACTTCATAAAAGTCGATGGAGTGGCGAGGGAGATGTACAGTAATTTGCTTCCTCTTATTCAGAGTTACACAAATTTGTAGTTAAGTTTCCTCCTTCAGTTACCAGTTTGGATCGTGGCCCTTTTATAAAATCTCCCATTTGTCTATTAGGAAGGAGTTGCCTCACCTCCTTGCCTATGGTTGACTGTTGTATCTCCGATTCTCCCTTTTTTATGTGATGAAATTCTTGTGTCTCTTATTATAAATAAATAAAATTTAATCATTAAAAACAATATTATTGGCCCATAAAACATAGGAAAACAGACTAAAAATTGAAGACATTTGGTTTTTTAATTTTTTATAAGAAATCGAGCTTTCGTTGAGAGAAATGAAAAAAAATAAAAACTGCCTGACAACGGGATATCCCCTAGAGAAATGGGCTTCAATCATTTTCCTTTTCTCATCGGGTTTTCACTACTTTTTGGAGCTTGTTTCCTTTGAACTTTGGTTGTATCTTTCAATCTTATCAATTAAATTGAAATTAGAAGTTCGTATCTTCTTTAAAAAAAACTGATAAAATAAAAAACTTTAGAAAAACCTCATAAGAAAGTATTAAATCTAAAAAATTGAAGATAACCGGTAACAGGTAACACGAACAGAAACCAATATATAGCAGGAGCACAGCTACAGCATATTGTTAGGCCAGTAATACATGAAAAAACATAAAGGAAATCCAAAATACCTGGTAACAACCAACATATAGCAAGAGCGCAGCTACAGCCACAGCAGGCACATGGTCCAGGAAAAGGTAATACGATCCAAGGAGGAACAAAGAGATCCCCTGCCACATGGATGCAGTAATAAATAAAAGAGTACTAAAACTAAACTTTGGTGGTCAGATGCTTTTTCTATAAGAGCAGTCAAATGTTTGTATTTCAAAGTAACTGATATGCCGTGACAGTAGTGTTGAGGTAGGAAACACAAAGGGCAAAAACAAAAAATAGAACTAAAACTGGTAAAAGTATTCTAGTATAGGGAAATGATGCTCCATGCAATTTAGGTTCAATAGTTTGAAAGAAAAAAAAAATCCAAGCATTCACGAAAGGGACTTACAATCCCAGATACACCTCCAAGGAGTAAAGGCCTCCTTCCAAGTCTATCAACAACAAGAACAGCTACTCCAGTCATAAATAGCTGCAGCACTAAAAAGTTCAATCAGAAACTTCATGAAATAGTCTTGGGAGATATGGATTTGAGCACTCGGTTGAAGAAATTAAGAGAGGACGAAAGCATTTGTGCAACTTAGCATTACATCTAAATTAGACAAATACATGCATCTAGCGTTAGAATTATAAGCTAATTCTCATTTCATAGAACTTGTACGTGTTTAAATTTAAGATGCTAAGATATATGGGCGTATCAATAAAACAAATACCTTCAACAAGCCAAGTAAAATTGACACCCGTGTTGCATCTGAAGCTGCAGAGAATCCTGCAGTCTGTTGAGTTATGTGATATTAGGAATTTAGGACAAAGGTGCTTCATGTGTGGACAAGAGGCACATTCTTTAAGTCTAAGTAAAACATCTGTAAACTTTAAGATAATATTTGCCTCTTTGTGTTCTTGATGGTCTAGTTTCTTGTTATGTTCCTTCTCTGTTAGAAGAAATCTCATTCTCTCTTATAAGATTCCGTTTAATATCCTTAATACTTTTATAAATAAATATATATTTAAAAAAACAGATAAAAAAAGTTTTGCTAAGTGCAAAATTGAACCCTGCTTTTTAAATAAATGTACCTGAAAGATTGAGGATGCATAATATAGCACACTTGGCTGACCAGTTATCTGTCAATAGTTGATGCCAATTCCAAATATAAGCAAATGATAGAAAGCTTTTATGCTTGAAAACACTGTTCAATAAATGAAGTACCTAACCTGTTGAAACAATACTAATCCTGAACCAATTATTAGGGCCTTCAAGCACTTTCCTTGAAATATGTCCCCTATTGTTGCTCCCTCTGATTCACCAAGAAAAGAGAGCTCATCCAAAATTTCATCCACTTCTTCAGAAGCTTTCTCGCCAAAAACTGGACCCCGTAGCCGGTACAAGCAGCTTATAGCTTTCTCTTTCAATTCCTGTGTATTTCCTTTTCTCTGTATGGCACATAAAAGTAGCCACCTGGGAGATGATGGTAGCCACCACATTCCGACTCCCATGACCAATGCAATAGGGGTACTGGCTGCATATATGTAGCGCCAACCAGCAACCACTTCAACTAAAAGACTACCAATGCCATAACCCACCTGCAGAGCATTCCATGCATGCTTTAAAACGGTATACTGGAAAGTTGAAGTATCAGTAGTCAAGAAAGATGGGGGGAATCTACATATTTCAGGCTTCATTTTATGGACTCGACAGATTTATATAAAAAAAAAAAAAAAAACTGATATTAAAATAGTAAAAAAAGGGATAAGATAGAAGCACTCACAACTATTCCAATTACTATAAAAAACTCTTTGAGAGAGACTAATCGCCCGCGTATCTTACTGGGGGAAGTTTCAGCGATGTACATTGGTGCTGCATGCATTGCCTAGATGAAAGAATAAAATTTAATGTCCAGATACACAAACAGGATGATCTTTTAAAGAAAATTTATTACAATTTCATAAGGTCAATGGTTAATTCTTAATGGGATTCGACAAATAGATGACAGACAAATATCATTAGTTCTTGAACATCAAACAAGCAATCTACATATTATCCTTCTATCCTTCTGGATCCCATCACCTTGATCAACAAAATTTTGGGTGTATGCATATAATGAATGCATCCGTATTTACATTTTTATATACAGACATAAACCATGTTTTGAAATATTTGACAAAGGTAAAATATCAATACTAAAGAAAAGAACATAAATCGTGTTACCAGTCCAATTCCTGTTCCATATATGAGGCGCCCAATTATCAAAACAGCAAAGTCAGGAGCAAGTGCTGTTACGATAGCTCCAACAAGATACAGTAAAGCGGAGAGAATCAGCTCCCTTCTTCTCCCTTTCATGAAAATTCAGCATTGAATTGATCAGGGAATGATAAAAGAATAACATAATTACCGCATACTGCTAGACGTCTTAGGATAACCAACCTAGAAAATCAGCAACATTAAAAGCCAAGACAGAGCCAATCAAGGCACCATATAAGGAACCGCTAGTCTGCAAAATTCAGAACCAAAATTTAAACAAACCAACTACACTGTTATTTTATCCAGGAATATAAGCTCGTAATTTCATTTGTGGACTCACTACAAGACCAAATTCCACAGAAGATAAGTTGTACCATGATATTCCACTAGATGATGCTGACTGCAAGGAGATAAAACAGAAATCAACCAAGATAAGCGTGAGAAGAAACTAAAACGATATTTTTAAAAAATGGACAGATGTGTAACTCTGGATGTGGAATTCAGGAAGACCAAACGATATCACTGAAAATTCATATCCAAGTGAGTCTTGATTGCAAGAAAAGATGATGCTTTTAAGATTCGGAATAGGGAAACTTGCAAATCTCACCTTTAACTATTAGAATGAAAGGGTGCTCTATTTGATCAAAATAGTCAGTTCAATTATCTATTCATCTCACAGAAGACCTAGAGCGTGCTTTGAAGCTGTTCTTTAATAACAATTTTTCTTTTTTTCTTTTCCCTAAAAACTGTTTTTAAGAATAGTAGTCAGTGGTTTGTAAACATTTTCTTGATTCTTTTAAGCACCTTTTATTCCTCTCCACCACTTTAAATTACTTTTAGTCCAGCTCAGTACGTGCAACAAAAATTCATCCCAATTTATCTTCCTGGAATTGACACTCTCTTACTCTATTAGATGAACTTGCCTATTAGCCACAATGAACCCTATGACTAAGGGCCTCATTAAAGAGATAGTAAAATGTGTTAGAAACTTAAAATCATATCCTATCAACCCTACACATAATAAGAAAAGTAACTGAACGTAGCATTATTTGGAATTTAAAAATAAACCTAATTAATGACAATATAACGTTTTATTATGCATCAATTTTTACTAGAAAGAAATTATTTCTAGTAACTTTAGTATAACTTTCTACCATGCATCAATGAAATTGTTTCCTATTTTAAAAATTTTTTACTAGAAAGAGAAACACAAAAGTCTTTTTGCAATAAGTTACAGCATTCAGAAACTCACTTGTAGCACAACAGATAGGACGCTTTCTAAACAATAACAACAATTATACCTTTATGGAAATTGTAGCACAAGATGTTGCACCAATATCATAGCCAAAAAGTAGTCCTCCAAGAGCTGGAAATAAAAATCTGAAATTATAGAGAGGAGACCCTAATAAATTGTAAGTTTTTGGTTGCTTTCTTTACTTACGATAACACCATAGTTTATTGCACATATTTTGGCTGAGAAACAAGACTTCCATTATGAAATGATAAAGTAGAAAAGATAGAAACCAAGTGATAGAAGTGCAAATTTTAACTGATGCAGAGATAGTGTCAAATGAAGAAAAAACTGTATTTCAAATGCGAGGAGAAATTTTAATTAAGATAATACTGCAAGAATAAAAGCTACAATTTCTAGTAGTTTAAGAAGACAGTTAGAATGAGGATAAGATTTGCATGACGAAGTGAAGTTAGAGCAGTTGCAAACCATAGGGGCACTGAACCATCATCAAATTCAATTTGAGGATTGGCTTCTCCCAAACAAAAGTATGGAGTACCATTGGTGGTTTTTTTTAGATAAGAGACATACTTCATTTCAAAAAAACAAAAGGTAACAGCCAAGCTTCATCTCAAAAGAGCTAGTATTGTAATTACACCTACCTAAAACTAATATTACTGAATATGGGATCTGATGGTATCAAATCAAATCCAATGCAAGGAGTGATGCTGAAATTTCTGTTGATAGAAGTCATTGAGAACTTTCTCCATTAATTCTAAGGAGCTATGGTGCTATCTCTGTTATGCATTGGCTTTAATGACCAGGATAATGCAAGTGAACTAGAAAAGATGGATGAAATTTAGGGTGGATGTGGAGATGGTTAAGATTCGAGGAGAGTATGGGCTTTGCCGTTCACTAGCATCTTTTAAGGCTATGGTGCAACTCAAAGTAAGGTTTTACGAATGACATTACATGCTCCATGGAAATTAATAGGATGGAACTAGAAGTCATACATCATAGTTATATGAATTTTTATTTCCATATTATGCATTGTTTAGCCTGAAACATCAAAATAATTTTCCTGGGAAGTGAACACAAGGATAAAAGTTTTTTTTAAAGAAAAATCCATCAAGCATTTCCTTCTTGATAAACATAAATACACGGTAACTTCTAACTTATAGCAAACAAAATTCCTAATAACAAAACCTACTTACAAATATCATCAATGTTTGTGAAATGTCAGCAATATAGACAAACGTGATTAAAGATGCCTGAAGTACTTTATTGAGATGAAAGAAATCATGGGCCTTTTTGGGGAAAAGTAGTGTAGATTATCACCTCTTTTTTCATTCGTATAGTTATGCTACACTTTTAACTAATTGGAGAAGTTTTATGTAACTCCTTCAGCTTGGGACTTTCTCTTCTTCCTTCTCAAGCAGATTTCAGACATCAATAGAATTTTTCTTTAAAAAAAATAATTAATTAAAAATTAAAAAAAAATAAAACTAGTGACAGTAACTCCCATTAAATATAGCATGAATGTAAAGAAAACGAAGAAAGAAAAATAATTCACCCAATAAACTTACGGTAAGATTGCAGCCGTGACAGAGTAGTTCTCTGAATTTTTAGATTCAACAAAAACCAAAGGCTCCTCGGCATCACCAATCTCACCAGATGAATGTCCAATCTGGAAGGAAGCAGAGGTATTTAGCGACTCCATGGTGATTCCCTCGGAAGTAAAATTGTAAATCCTTGATATCAAGCACGTAAGAATCCGTACTGCTTTTGTTGATCCTAGACTTCAAAACTTCACCGAATCCTAATTCTGTGTACTCTATAATTTGACTCGATAATGGGAAGGTATCCAAGGCTCCCCCGCAAATTACACAACATGATACAGCGAAAGATTCTTAGTTATTGCCTTATTTATATGACATGGCAAGAAATTTATATCAATTCGTGGACAGAGTATTTATGTAGAGCCAAGATTTCAATTATAAAGAAATTGCATGTTCTGCTGAGCTATTCGCATCAATCCACCGGACCCAAATCCGAAATCACTTTAAATTCTTTTCTTAACTGATCCCCGCATTCCAGACGGAGGGAAAAAAAACTAACAAAAAAACAAAATACGCCCATTTATGTACAAGCACCGAACACTCGAAATAAGCTAAGTTTCTTCACAATCGTCTCCTTATTGAAAACCCAATACCTTCCCTCAGTTCATAAATTCAAAATTCTACCTCCCTCTTCTTACTTCTGCAAAATTCTTATGCTGACTTTCATACTTCCTAAGCATCGAAACTGACCGCGATAGCACTATGCATGATTCAGCCAAACAAAAAATGAAAAAGTATAATTAAAAGAAGTAGGAAACTCTGAAGTAGTAGTAAGAAACCTTTCCGAAGGAAGATAGAACGGGCTGCTGTTGATCGGATGCCATTGCTTCACTTCAGCTCCCAAGCAGCGAAACAGCAAGTCGCAATCCAACAAAGAAAATGGTTTGAAATTTGAGCAGAATTATCGGAAAGCAAAATTGAGACGACGATAAATAAAAATCTGGCGAACGCTGGAAGGACACAGCAGCGAATTTGATGTACCTTGTTGCCAAATAATGCAATTCTAACTTCTAACTTTAATTTCCAGTACTCTGTGTTTGTCCACGATGATTATTGATTATCATTCTGAAATAAAATTACTTTTTTATTTTTCTAATAGCGTTTTATTTTTCATCTTTATTCAACGACCGGCGGGGTTATAAATTTTAACCAACTGACCAACGACAACTTATATATAATTTAATTAGTCGAGTTTTTTTTTTAGGAAATTAATTAATTGAGCTATTAATAATATTTTAAAATTTATAAAACTTTTATATATGAAATTAGCGATTTTGAAATCATTTTGTAGTGTTTTTTAATTGATTGCTAACTCCGAATTTTCTTTCTGACCTGAGCTGGGTGGTAGTTACAATATCTATATGGCATTCAATTTCACTGTTCGTGACATGTGTGATGCAATATTTTTTTAAATACTAATAAAATAAGACTAAAACAATTGTATGGACTTATCATTTTGAATCCAACAAGTTGTGATACTAATATTGGTATGAATGTCGACACGTCATTGAATTGACGAGGGATGATTTGACAGAGTGCAATACAAAATGAAGATAGCGAGTTTGGTCACTTTTTTTATTGTCTATTTCTTGTTTTCTATTTTTTGTTTTTAATTTTTTTTATAACTAAAAATAATAATACGTTTTATAACTATTTCTGTTTCTTGTTTATTAAAAAAAAGAAATAGAAACAAAAATATGTTTCTTAATTTTTTTTGTTAAAATAAAATTTAATAAATATAATATACAAATATATAAAAACTATATAATAGTTTTTCTAGAATAAACAAATATATAACACGTATATCATACACTCTAGAAAATATAATTAATTAAAAAATATATTTTTTGTTATATATTAATCTATATTATTATGCTTAAATAAACAATAAGTTTTCAAAATATTTTTAATTTAAAAAAAATAAAAATATTTTATATATACAAAAAAAATATATATATATATAAAGAAACTAATATATTAAAAGATAATTTAAAAAATAAAATATTTTATAAAATAAATATAAAATAAAAAAATTATTAATATATGTAGAGAAAATAAAAATAATAAAAACAAATTAAATTAAAAATATGCGTTGGACATGCGCACATGCACCAACATAATAATAGAGAAACACGATTTATTACATAACATGAGACTAAGAAACAAAAATAGTAAAAATGAAATTATTTTGTGTTATTTCCAAAATTTAGCCTCTTTTTTGTTAGAATGTTTCTTTAGAAACGAAAAACGGAGATGAATTATCAAACATGTATGTTTCTCGAAAATCGAGAAACTATGCCACTTGAAAAATATATGTATGTATGTATGTGTATATATATATATATGTATATTTCCTTTAAATTTTCTTTTTTCAAATTGCAATCCTAAACCACAATTTAAAACATTCAAATATAAATTTGAAAAAAAAAAAGTTAAGTATCAATATAACTTATGGATTTTCAATGTAAATCAATCAATCAAATATTAATATTCGTCCTTATAAGCGGTAGGTTTGAACATTTGCCCATCATTTACAATGTAATGTTGTCTAGCTTTTCACATTCTAGAAGTTGTTTCATTGTTTCATTCGGTCCACAAGTTTTATAACTCTTACATATTAACCCAATAAGTTTAAAATTTTTACCAAATTTGGCTGTTGAGCCGGCGTCAGTAAAAGCATCAACCTCTCCATGTGGAATGTTTGTTGGGTCCATATAGAACCACAACAACATTGTCACATCTCACGACATTATTTGGTCGATTTTTCATTTTGTTTGTCAGTACAATAATTATGAAGATATTGGCTTTGTTGTTTTGTTTGTTAGTACAATAATTATGAAGATATTGGTTTGAATCTCAAATAAGTAAATATTTTAATAGATAAGTTAAAGTTTGTGTTGGTAACGTTATATGATCTTTAAATCTTATGAGATGAAAGAAGTAACATTTATAAATTTGGAGGGAAAAAAAGCACACATATGTTGTAATGTAATTTGGAGGGACCGGTTGCATCGGGAGGGATGGGGATCTGAATTTGATCTAGTAGTTTGTGAACAGGAAAAATACAAATTATTGATTCGAACAGTTGAATCTACAATAACCTCCACAAAGGAATAGTGGGCTAATGCTAACACGCCGACATACACTCTAATACTCAAATAAATATAAGAACTGATCAAGATAAAAGATTAAGCTTAACGCAATATATCAAGAATGAGTGAGTGTCATGTTTTGTGTAACTCTACGGTCCTTTCCAAACTTGAAGGCAAAGTTGCATGGGAGAATGTGCATAGTCTCACGAGGGTGAGTCGCCAGCAGATACAGTGGTTAGGGGTGGAAATAGGGAGCACAACCACAAGTGTGTGACCCTTTGAAGGACAGTCGCACTTGAGGCATGGGCATTGTAAGGGGGTGCGACCATTCGAAGCGAGTGTGACCCTTCGAAGGGAGTGTGACCACGATGGTCATGCCTGTGGAGTGCTTGTGCTACAGGAGGCACGACCACGATGGCTACACCCACGGAGTTGGCCGCACTCTTACCCCAACAACATGTATAAGATTTAAATGCAGATATGAGCTTGATTAAGACGTAAATCAATATTAGAAGATTGTGGGTTCGAATTCTCTCTTCCACATGTTGGTGTACTAAAAAAAATGTAAACTCAATCTAGTAGTCATGGGTTTAAAAGTTTTAATTCTATCATTGTACATGTATAAGATTAAAATACAAATTTGAGTGCTCGATTAAGATACAAATTCCTATTTAAATATGTGAGTTCAAATCCACGTATATTACTTTTTTTTTAACTCAATCCAGCACATGAGTCTAAAAGTTTAAATTTTTGTCCTGGGTCAACCTCCACAAATTATATTTTATTTGTATATAAAACCTATATATTTCGGCTTATTTTTTTACTAAATTATATATATATATATATTTTATTCATTGAAGGGACTAATATCTAAATCTTAATAGAATCCATCAACAAATTAACCAAATATAGAATGTCAGTTTATTTATTTATTTTTTAAGTAGAATACGTGGGTACAGAGATTCAAATTATCAATCTAGCAATTGGATACATGTATCTTAACCCGAACTATATTGACTAAAATATCAACTTATCGAAATGTAAAAAATGAATAGTCTAATAACAAAATATAAATGATTGAATAAACCACCATATATAAGAGCTCATTTAATCMATCGTTGTTTTCTACCGTTGGCTTTTAGATTTTAGTTTTCAAAACACAAACTTGTTTGATAACTCATTAATTCTTAAATTCCTAACCGTTTTAAAAATTCTATGCATATTTTAAAAATTAGCTTTTAAAAATATATTTATTTTTTTTTCAAAATAGTGTTCTTTTGTTTCAATGCTCAATATTTATTTAATACATCTCTATCTTAAACAAATTTGTTTCTCATTCTAAATTATTTTTTTACTGAAATTTATCTCTCTAAACAATTTATCTCTCATGTCTATCTTTATATTTTTATTTATTTATGTTCGTTCTAACTCGTTTTTATATCTCTGTAATTTTATTATTCTGCTAAACTTGTGTCTGTCAAATTTGCCTTAAATGTTCTGCTCTTTCTATTTTTTTATCTAGCAAATATATCTTCAAATTTTATCTCTTTTTCTTTTTCAATTGCAACATTTATTTATGTTTTATTTATTTTTTTCTCTTGCAAAATATATCTCAAACTTATATTTTTTTTCCTAAATTTTGTCATCGCTATATATATATATTTTCTATTCTCAAGATTTTTTATTTGTATTTTGCTTTCAACTTTCTATTTATCGAAAATTATTTATGAATGTATTTTTTTTTACTTTTCTCCTATTGTATCTATACTAAGGATGGTAAAAATCTATGGAGGGTCGGATTACCACTCTAAGAACAATGAATGCCATATCCCTCCATGTTTCGATCGTAGTCCCAATTATATTTTTAAATAATTAACATATTTTTTATTAACTATTAAATATTTAATAAAAAATAAAAAATAAAAAATAGAAATAGTTATCAAAAGATAAAACCGAAACAAAATTTAAACTGGACCAAATTCGGAAGTAGACGAAAAAAAAAGCCTAAAGTTTATTTATTAAAAAAAAGCGTTTTTGCTAATTTTTATTTTGTACGAATATTTCTAAATTTCAAGTAGGAGTGGGATTGACTGCACTGGAATACGTGGCCGACTTTGATTGGTAAAACGATGTCATCGGAGAACTCATCCGAAAAATGTAACAAGAATTCTAGAAAGAGGAACCCTAACATCGGATTCCTTCCTGGCCCTGTCTCATTTCCTCACTATTCTGCAAAATTTTCAGGTTCATATCATCGTCCTGGACTCCCACTCGAATCGGCGCCGAGATCTAGCCGGCCATTGACAGCCGTAGTCGCCGATCAATCAGGCAAGATTTCAATTCGAAAACCAACTTATCTGTTGATGTTTCTGGATTTGCTCGGTCAATAGGTTTTGTAACTCCAAGATTATGGGTTTATTATTCACCAAGTTTTGTCGGATCATGTTGCAAAAGCATTACACGGCCCGTCGACAAAGAACTAACGACGGGGCTTGAACAATAGGAGAAAAATGTCCTGCCCGGTGGGTGTTATCGACTGCAGAAACGCTATCGATGAACTCAGCGTAGATCATAGGAAATTAAGGTAGTCCTGTAAACCTTAGGAAGATTAATCCGAGTCGAATTTTGCCGTGTTTATCGCGTGGATACGATAAATAACGTATAGCTTGGCTAAATTTATAATGTTCAGTGATTTTCACATTTGAGTGGAAATTGGAACCTGGGAACTTTCTGGCATTACGTAAACTGAGTTAACTGGGTTGCCCAATTGGGTACGTTATGTCCTCCGGTACAGTTTCCTATATTTTCTAGTTCAACTCAGGGAGCTTGGACCTAGCGGTTGATCTGTCCTCCGTTTATTTATTTGGCCCATCTTTTGGCAATTTTGATGGCGTAGAAGAGATATGGACATCATTATTTGTTTGATAACCATTTCGTTTTTAGTCTTATGTTTTAGAAAATTATGCTTGTTTACCCACAATTTCAATTTGGTATGTTTTCTGTTTGATAACTATTTCGTTTTTAGTTTTATGCTTTAAACAATTATGCTTATTTACTCGCAATTTATTTGGTACGTTTTCAAATTTGTTCAAAAAATAACGCAAATTTAAAACAGAAGAACAAGTTTTAGTTTTCAAAATTTAGCTTAGATTTCAAAAATATTTTAAAAAGTAGATAACAAAACAAAGAAATACACTTATCAAAGTGGTGTTTCCAAGATTAATTTTTAAAAACAGAAATAAAATAACAAAATGGTTATTTAACAGGGCCTTAACTTCGTAATGCTGAGTCAATTATAAGGCATCACTTCAAAATTTAAATGTCTTCCATGCAGATACTAATTTTTCATATTTTTAAGATAGGTAACAATGATATTTTAGCATCATATATATTGTTTCATTTGGCTGACATTCAAATTCTCATGTGGCAGTGCGGTAGAAAATGATGAAGCTGCAAACATATGCGGGGATTAGTTTCATTGCAACCATAGTGGTTATCTATCATGCCTTCAACAGTAGAGGCCAGTTTTACCCAGCATTGGTCTATTTATCAACTTCCAAGATCAATCTAGTGCTTCTTCTCAACATGGGTTTAGTCATCATGTGCATTTTGTGGCAGCTAACAAAAAAGATATTTCTTGGTTCTCTCCGAGAAGCAGAGGTCGAGAGGCTCAATGAACAATCATGGAAGGAGTTGATGGAAATCCTCTTTGCCATCACTATTTTTCGGCAAGATTTTTCTGTTGCATTCCTTGGTATGGTTACAGCTCTATTGTTGATCAAAGCTTTGCATTGGTTGGCTCAGAAGAGGGTTGAATACATGGAAACCACTCCATCAGTGCCCTTGTTGTCTCATATCCGGATTGTTTCTTTCTTGAGTTTCCTCTTCATTCTTGATAGTCTGTTTTTTTATAATTCGATTGAGTATCTGATACGGACAAGGAAGGCCTCAGTTTCCCTCTTCTTTTCATTCGAGTAAGTTGTCAGTTTCCATTGTATGATAATTTATCCTGCTTTTTTACTCGTGCAAGCTCAAACTATGTGGTTTACCTAATTGAAATTTACTGAACGGGTTTGGTACCATAATAATTTCAAGTCATTATTTGAGGTTGGAATGTCAGAGATACCAAGATTATGTTAGATGAAGTCACAAACTATTGCTTGAATTTTATATTTAAGATCTTCTATAGAGGATCTTATATGTGCGTTTTTAGTCTTTGTTGGCTAGAGCGAGGTTTCTAAATATCTTATGATGTATGCTCCTGGACCTCTTAGGTGCTTACGTCATTATAAAATAAAGTCAACGACTCTGTTTTTCAGGTATATGATTCTTGCAACAACGGCAGTGTCAACATTTGTGAAGTATATTTTCTATGTCAGCGATGTACTCATGGAGGGACAATGGGAAAAGAAGCCTGTCTATACATTCTACTTGGAACTTATTCGAGACTTGCTTCACTTGTCGATGTACTTGTGTTTCTTTCTCGTGATTTTCATGTGAGTAGTCAAGCACACCCCTTGCCATTATAGCCTATCTTGTTGTTGTGAACTGGAAGTTCAGAATCAATCTCTCTCTGAAAATGTACACAAGTACATTATGTGCTCATATTGCTTATACTCAAATGTTAAAGTAGGAGGATGCTGACTTTTCTCAAAGGATACTATGCAAACTAGAATAATTAGATATGGGAACTTGGTTTGTGCCCTTCGATATATGTTGTAGTTTGCTTTCACATTGACTGTTTGAATATTCTCTACATCCTTATTCTTTTCAATGAGTTGTTTCTTCTTAAAAAAATTGTTTCATTCCATCGAGACAAAAAATCTTGATGAAGATTGAAAGAGGCAGATCTTTCTGCTTACATGCATATATTGCACTAAAGAAATGCTATGACCTGTAGTGAGTAGTCTGATCAATAATTTCTCGGAGTTTTTTGGATGAGAACTCCAAGGTCATGACTTAATTGCTAGACTGTAAACATAATAGAAAGGTTAGAATCCATTTCATTTATATGGTTCTCTTTTGGATTTTCAATTATCTGCTCTCTCCTTCCTTGCTCTCTTCTTGTGCAAGTGCTTAGTACATAGTGAGGAGATAAGGAGGTCAATTAAAGCCCCAAGAAGAGTAATACACAACTTTTCTGCCCACATGCTGGTGTTTAATAGATGTTATAGTTTAAACGCACGATTTTATTTCCTCCATTCAGCTTCAATTTTCTGTGTATTTGATCTTATTAACTTCATCCTCATTTCACATTTTGATTCTGCTGAGTTTTCCCATGCAGGACTTATGGCGTGCCTTTGCACTTAATCCGGGAGCTCTATGAGATCTTTAGGAATTTTAGGATTCGTATTGCAGATTACATCCGTTATAGAAAGATTACCTCAAACATGAATGATCGCTTTCCAGATGCAACGCCTGAAGAACTCAATTCGTGCGTCTAAGCTTGGTCAACATTTTACATTTTTGATATTTTCAGTACTTTTATGGCAGCTACTAAGATTCCCTTTATTGATTTGCAGAAGTGATGCAACATGCATTATTTGTCGTGAAGAAATGACAGTTGCGAAGAAACTAGTATGTGGGCATCTTTTCCATGTCCACTGCCTCCGGTCCTGGTTGGAGCGACAACATACTTGTCCCACTTGCAGAGCCCTTGTTGTACCACCTGAAGGTTCAAGCACAGCTGGAGGTCATCATGGATCGCATGATGCTAACCAACAAGGTAAGTGCACCAAGTAACAATTAAAATTCAATCTCCATTGTTGAAATTTCTGTTCCCTCCAAAAAACAATTTGATTCAATTTACCGCCTGACTGAAAGGTTTTAAATCTTGTGCAGTTGTTAATTTGATAAGTTGGTTCAATATTTTACATGATCTCATTGTTTTGATAAACAGCATTAAATGTTTGGTTGTTTGGTGCATGCTAGTAGCATTCCCTTCTGTGTATCTGCTTTCTTTAAGGGAGAAGTTCTTGATGCAAATCTGGAACTGTTCGTTTCATTTAATTATTTTTTTAATATGGTGGTATACCAGGCTGAAACTTGAAGTATTGACTCATCATTCTGTTGGAAATAGGAACAGGAACCACAAGTTCATCTGCACAAGATTCGAGTGGTACGGGTGTTGCTGGCGATAATTTGAGTCATCATCAGGCTAGAGTCCAAGCTGCTGCTGCGGCTGCTTCAATATATGAGAAATCATACGTTTATCCTTGTGCGAGCACATTAGTATGGTATGCCTTTTTATTGCAAAATATGCAGTCCCTATCTTATTCTCCTTTTTGACGTCTTGAAAATTTACTCCTATATTAAGGCCATTTCTCCCCTTGCATCGACTCCACCCCCCACAACACCCTTAAGAGAGAGTAGAGTATTACAGAAAGTTTATTTTGTTTATTTACAGGTCTCCTGGATATGCAGTAGTCCCTCAGACTCAAAGACCTTTGGCTGACTCCAACAATATAGAACCGAATGGAGAACAAGCTCCCAATGGGCAACCACAATATTTCCCATTTACTGGTGGACCTGCAAACCTGTCCTTCACTCAATTCCCCCAAAATCTTTTTGTTCCTTTCCAGCCACGAGAGGGCTCTGTGAACAATACCGATGGATTGGGTAGTAGTCAAAATGTATCAGGCTTACATCTTGAAGATCAAGAAAGATTTATTCAACAACAGATCGAGGTATGTTATTTACTTATAGCATCAACATTTTTTTTCTAACGAGAAACCAAACTTTTATTGAGCAAAAATGAAATGGCATACAAAAAACAAATAGCATCAACATTATTACCCTGTTGCTAGTTTGCACACATGCCCATGGGCGGTTAACTCGGGAATCACAATCATGTACACATGCTTGGGATTCATATTCTTAGAAAACTCAAATGATCGGACTAAATTGCTCTTGATTCTCTCACGTTTATCTCTGAGTACGTTGTTCCTCTGTCTAATAGAAAAAGGCAAAAACGATAGACTGAAATGCTGTTTGGATTTCTCGTTTGTACTGTTTTCTTCCTTGACCTTTGATGTTCATTAAGAAGTTAACTTTTTTGCTTTATATTTGTGGTTTACCGTAGGGGTGCAACCAAAACTAGGCCCAACCAACATGAGCTACCAAAAAGAACAAAAGACTACAATGAGCCCTACGTGTGGTGATCAAGAGAATAGGATGATTACAAAAGAGATTCGAAGTAATCCCTCTAAAGAAAGGCATAAAAACGTGACAAATCTCAAACCTCCTTCCAAGACCTATCTATGTCGAAGAATATTTCCTTGTTTACTTCCAATCGAATAGTGGCAAACAAAACATACTTGCTTAATAATCTGACTTTATCTCGAAAGAGATGGTCTAAGAGAGCTTCCTCCATCATTATGTGAATAGTTGAAAGAACCATTTAAACACCAAAAGTCGGCCATAAACGACACCGGATCATAGAAGCAAAAGGGCCAAAGCCATAAATGATTTGAACATTCTAAGGCACCCTTACACATCCACATTAATAAGAGGTACTAAGAGATTCATTGGGTGAAGACCACGGTGTTATTCCTCCCTAAAACAACCAGCCAAGAAAAAAATCATATCATTTTTTAGGATTTAAGTGAAGAGAGACTGTCGGAGAGTATAATAGTCTCCAAAAGGTGTTCTTAGAGCTTGGAGTAGATCCCTACTGTTGGAGTAAATATCATACATTCTATTACCTTAGGCCTTGTTCTAGGTGAAACAACCAAAACCATTTGAATGAAAGGGTGTGATATTTTTACAAACCAAGTCCCCAGTCTCCTACCCGCCTTCCTCACATGATTTTGACACGAATTTATAGTTAACTAAATGTGACTCCCCCTCTATTTGGTTTTCTTTCTTTATTTATTTTTACAAGAAAAAAAACTTTTCATTGATATAATGAAAAGGAACGAAAATAAAAGAACACTGATACAAACTCTGGGCGAAAAGAAAAAACAAACAAAGACTAAGAACAATGAGGAGTTACAAGGAGACTTTTCAAAATGGGACCCTCTCTTCAACCCCTTCCAATAGAAAATTTCGCAATGTCTCTTCCAACTTCTCCTTAATATAATAGCCCTTGATATTTTGAACCGAAATAAGTTGTACACGATCTCCTTGAAAACTACCTAAATCAAAGTGAGTCTACCCTTTAGGGGAAGCCAAGTGGATTAAGTTCCAAAAAGACTTTCGTCTTGGATCAAAATCTATGTTTAAAAGTCCTTGGAATAGCCTGTGGAGTTTTATCCTCCGTATATCTCTTACAATTTTTCCCCAATGACCCTTGGAATCTTCAAAGAAAGCCACGTGAAAGTTCTTTCCTCTATCAATTTCTTACATCTAATCCTCAATAGCCCTTGGAATTTTATTTTATAAAATATATTTTTTCAAGGACTTGACTCAATTAGAGGTCGAGCAACTAGCTTGTAGTTTTGGAAGGAAGATATAGTTACATGTTTTTGGAGATTTTTGTTTGAATAATCGTAAATTTTTCTTTTCACACCGCTTCCAAAAAACCTTATATATATATTTTGTAACGAGAGGGTAAAAATATTTGAAAACAGCCATTAATTCAAATTATTAAGAAGGTACAAGTGATAAGTTAAGGAGATATCAAAGTTAATCAACAAAAGAAAAAAAAAAAGATAAGTTCAGGAGACATCTTTTTGACAAATAAATTTGTATTTATTCAATTCCATTCAAACTAGTTTTAGTCTCTGCCCTCTATCTCAATAACTTTTTCCTTCTAAATTTAGAATTTCATTTTTGGCAACAGATGCTACAGAAGCAGCTGCAACTTCTCCGTAATCCAAAAGTTGAGGAGAGCACAAGAGCAGGTGAGGCAGATAAGAAAGGGAAAAGTGTAGCATCATCACCACCGTCGTCATCTTCATCGGTTTCAGAATCTCATCCACCCGCAGGAGAAATCGAAAGGATGGTGAGATAGAAGAAATGTGCATAATTATATTGTGTAATAATACAAGACTGCAGATTCAGAATGACATAGATGTCTCTTGTATACGGAAGATGTACTTGGTAAAATTTTAAAGCAGTCTTCTTCCTATTTGGCGCTGGGTTGCAAAGGGTAGTGGTGAGTGTTGCTGATGATTGGTTGTAAATGCTGAATTGGTTGTCCTTCGAAGCAAGCAATTATCGATGGTCAAAAAAGAATGTTGAAAATTCTTTTCTAGCAAATGAAGAGAGTTTTATTCAAAGTTGTTTTGGTTTGATTGTTATTTTCTTGGTCTAAAAGTGCTTTTTGAAAAGCAATTTAATTCAATTGATTGTTTGGAAGTGGACTTTTAAAAAGAAGTGGCAACAAAAAGGTAGTAGAATTGTGTTAGTCACATTTTCTATTCTTCATATTTGACTTTTAAGGTGTTGTGTATAGGTAATAAGATATATTCTTTCAAATGGTCTTTAATATCCATTTAAAAAATTGGCTATTTGAGATTGTTTTTGAAAACTGCTTTCTTTTTCCTTGAAACAGGAAGTGAGTAACCTGCCGTAATCGATAGAAAATTTGGAAAATTCCTATTGAATATTCAATATAGTCTAATGCAGTTCTATAAGATATTGGAACATCCATTTGGAAGAAATAATGTAATAATGGGTACAGCACTCCACCACGACGCAATCCCTTTTTCAAGGTTTAGGCTCGCTGTTAGTTGGGTATGCTCTTTCCATAGGCGACTTTCCAGAAGGTCTTCAAGGTAGATATGTTCTTCTTTTCTTCTCAGAGAGACCATACTTTTTTTTGGTCTGGGCGCACAGAAGGGAGAGTGGGCCGGGTTTCAAGCCTGGTTGCATGTGACTGAGTCGGGAGAGGGGGGCGAAGAGATCCGCAACTTTCACTGCAAAATTAAATTTTTTTTTCCGTCTTTCTTTTTCTAGTAAGATTTCAATATCATCCTTCGAGAATCTTTAATCCTCCTGTTCGTCATGCTATGAATATAGGTAGGCAAATCACGCCATTTCTTTTGAAGAGTAGCGTTCATCTGAYATAATTCACTTTCACTTCGAAAGCATCTTTTGAAATCGTTTTCCCACTTTATTGTTGTTATCCAAAAATCGAAGAAGATTCATAATTCACATTAATTTCTGACGTCCGCTGTCCTCCAAAAGAGATTGTTAGCAAGCAGCACTACTACTAATTCCCGTTCGATAGGTYCCCATTCGGGGGCTTCAACCAGCATTTCGCCCCATGCATCGTGAATTGGATCTGTTACTACGGGACTCGTTTTTTGCTTTCTTTTCCTTTAGCTATTAAGATGTTTCAGTTCGCAAGGTCGTCTTTTGTCATAAGATATTGGAACATCCATTTGGAAGAAATAATTGAAGCAAGAATTTATTTCGGTCGTGGTACTAAGAAATGAAATCCTAAAATGACACTATATCTCTACAAAACATAAAGCGAATCTTTGGTTGAATCTCTTGTCTACAATTAATACTATAATTTAAACTTATGATTTAATTGGATAATATTACAACTTTTAAAATGAAAATTCAATTTTTTTTCTTAAGTAAATGGCCCACCTTCTGCGTGACATAATGTCAGTTGCATGTGGTATAGANAAAAAAAAGAATAAGGACGGTTGAATTAAAATATATTAATGAATTCATAGTGCGAATTATATTTTGAACACTATACTATTTTCAAACATCAACCTTCCACGTTTGCAACGAAAGTTTTTATACGCTCCCACACATTTACTTATTAAAAATTAAAAATTTTATAGTCTAGTATAAAAACTTTTAAACTTTTAAATTTACTACATTTTTTTCATCTAATCCTTCAATTTTCTTGAAACTATGTATCTACTATCTAATCCTGACTAAAGAAATGTTATTCTACAAACTAACACTATTAATTATTTAAACATTTGTATCTCTTAATTAAATTACTGACAAATTTGTAAATAATTTATACTCAATGAAAATAATTTAATACAAATTTGTAAATACATTTCAAAAAATTTATAGATAGAGTAAAATAAATAAAAAGTGGAAAGTACGTAAATTAAAATAAACGTTTTAAGTATTTAAATAGGGGGGGATAAACACATAAATCTTAATTACCTTCACTCCAACTATTACAATTCACAAGTAGAAGAAGAAAAGAAGAAATTAGGAGAGAAAAAAAAGAAAAAAGAGAGAAAAAAAGAGACAAGGGTGGGGCTGTCTCGCTCTGGCAGCCGGTAGCCGGTAGCCGGTGGGAAGGTGGTTTGACCGTTCAAACGGGAAAAAGGAAAAAAGAAAAAGGAAAAAAAAAAGAAAAGGTAAGCCCTTCCTTAAGACAGGTCTACAGCATAGCAACGACTTCTGGTTTGGTTTCAAAGAAATTCAACATTTTTTTTGTGTTCAATTTCTGCAATTTCGTAGCTTCCTTCTCCGGCTTCGTTATGGAAGCCGTGAAGCTCTGCATGGTGCCACCTCCATCTCTTCTTCGGCTGTGACATTTGTTGTTCGATTCTTTACTCCAACTCTCCTCGGTCCTGTTGCGGTCAACGGGGCTCCCTCGCGTTTTCGGCAGCTTCCTGGAAGGTTCCGCGGAATCAATTGGTCAATGAGGACGGAGCTGTGATTCCAGGATTCTTTTGGGATTTGATCTCTTTCCGCTCCTGGAGATTGATTCGTAATCCTCGTCGTCTCTGTGTTCGATATGGCTAATTGTTCCCAGTGTGAAATAAGAGCGTGATTCTGGTTTGCGATATGTCGGTGATGTTGGGTTCTTCGTCTTCTCTGTGGATCGTTTTGGTGCTCGGTTTCGTTTCGCTGATATCTGCTAATCCTGAAGGTATTTGCTTCTTGAATTACTCGCTAATTTTTTTCCCTCTGGGTTTTGTTTCTTCTGTACGATTTGATGCCGTTAACCACGGACGAATGTGTCCCATCTGTGCCGTTATGATCGTCATGAAATCTGATATATAGATTGGGGTGGGTGCTTGGGAATTAGTTAGCTATCTGGGCATAGTTTGAATGAAACCACTCCAGCATTTTTCCAGTCGCGGGTTTTCTTCCTAGGTACGTTGCGCATAACTTTAGTACAGGCCGACCTGCGCGATTACATTTCTGGGATAGGACTGCACAGTTTGGATTAAGAAGCAGGATTTATGTGTTTTGCGAGTGACTTGCTAAATTTATTGCCAAGCTTTAGCCTCTTGGAAATTTAATAGAACTTGAAGTTTTTGCGGTTCGTGACTGCAATCAACTCCAAGCCTTCTAAAGACGTCAGCTTCATTGTACCCAGTTTTTTTGTTTTCCCTTTGTTTTCCTGTCTAATTGAAATTCTGAATATGTGAACTACGTGCTGTGCTCATGTATGCTTGTTTCTTGGACTAATTGTTATGAACTTCCGTGGGGGCAGGCGATGCTTTGAATGCATTAAAGTCAAATTTGCAAGATCCCAATGGCGTCCTGCAGAGTTGGGATCCTACACTTGTTAATCCCTGCACATGGTTCCATGTCACCTGTGACAGTGAGAATAGTGTCACTCGAGTGTAAGCTTCTATGCCTACTAGGAGCTTGGAAGAAATGTTGCTTTTGGAATTTTCTATCATGAATCCTGGCCCCTCAATCTTTCCCTTTTTATTTGCCCAGCGATCTTGGAAATGCAAATCTATCTGGAACATTAGTTCCACAACTTGGTCAGCTTCGGAGTTTGCAATATTTGTAAGTGTTCATTAATTTGTGCCTGCACCGATCTTTTGGTTTTTTTTTTATAAATTTTTTTTATTTTATTCTCCATTGCGATTGCATTTTCTTTCCCATTCGGGTTGTGGCGGTTCAAAAGATTTGTAGATGGAGTTTGCTGGTTTTGTTTTTGATTGACCAATGACTATATTTTCATTTATTTTCTTACCTAATTTTATAAATTACATTTCTCATAAATGGTACACATCTTAGTCTTTATACCTTTATGAAGGGTTGCAAATTAGAAAGCAATGATTCAATTGACTGGATTTTCGCTGCTTATATTCTTATAAAGTCAAAGCAAGGGGGTGCAATTAATTTACGTTAATAATAATATTTGTAAATAATGTGAACTGATATGATATGACAGGGAGCTTTATAGTAACAATATTAATGGAGAAATTCCAAAGGAGCTTGGGGATTTGACAAACTTGGTGAGCTTGGATCTTTACTTGAACAATTTAACTGGTCCCATACCCGTCACACTTGGCCAGCTTGAAAAACTGCGTTTCCTGTATGGCTACACATCCTTAATCTTTTCCCCATTCAGTAAACTTGTTTAGCATCTGCTTGATATTTTCCTGTTCTTTTGCCCATGCTTTTACTTGTTTGTTTGATTTAATTTTTGGAGAATGAATTTTTTTTGTTTAATCTTTTAATAGTTTGATTTGATTTGAAAAGAGAGCAAAAAAAAAAAAAAAAATCTCAAGTGAGTAGTCAACTTTATGTCAGCTTCGTAGTAATTTATGCATAGTTGGAATAAGACACATCTACTTTATACATATATTTTCAACTTAACTTTTCAAAATTTTAGAACAAGGCTAGTGCAGATTGGCTTTCTTTGCAAGGGGCTCAATTCTTCAAACGGAACCCAACCTATACAAGATCAAGGTGCTACTCCCTTCCACTCATGCCACAAGTGGCTCATTTATGTAGTAGTTGCTCCTCCTTGCTCACCGACTTAAGAATCAGAAGGTGATTTTTGGGTATTTTTGGTGGGACGCTTTGGTTATGAATGTTGGTGCTCTAGGTTTATGGATGGAGTTAGTCCACGGAAGTCTTCCAAAGTCAATCAACATAAACATGGTATGGCTAATTAGGCTTGGTTGAGAAGGCCATTTTCAGGGGTGCATTGATTAGTTATGCCCTACTGTTGGTTAGGTTGGGATCGTGGTCACCCATCTCGGGTTTGCTTGGAGATTAGATCTATGAGTTTTTTTTTTTTTTTTTTTTTGTTGAACAAAAAATAACTTACGAAAAGGGAAAAAATTCAAGATACAAACCCCCAAAGGGGTGAAAGAACAAGAAAGAAGAAAAAAGAGAAAAATAAGATAGAAATATCTCAACAAGAGCAATACAAACACAGAAGATAAAGAACATTAGAAACCAAGGGAGAATGATGAAGAACTCAGATTTAGATCTATGAGATTGACCGACCAACGGAAGGGTTTGGCTATTTCTTTCTATTTAAAAGGAGCCAACTGTCTATGGACCTTATTCTACGCTTTTTTGGACAACACGAAATTCTCATTTTAATATAGGGTAGCCATACTTGTGATAACCAGGATTTTGTTCTATGAACGAGGGTGAGATGTTAGAAGTGGGAATTGTTTTTTGTGTTGTAGAGGGAGGGATTGACCTTTCTTATGCATATTCAATCATCTAGCGTGACCCTATAAAAATGCCCTCAAATTGACACAAATAACATTGATTGGGTAATTACAAAAAGAATTAATTATAAAGAGAACTCCAATTTGAAGTTGAAAAAACTAAGAAGTGATGTGAGAAATTTCAATCTTCATTATTTAATTTCACTCTTTCAAGGATGCTATTTAGGTGGATGTAAATCCTCAATTTAACTAATGTAATAACCAGGCCTCAAAAAAGCTAATACTACTTGGATTTTCTCCTTGGAGCAGCCCTAGGTAACTTAATGGCCAATGACCCAATTTGAACTCTCAGCAACAGCTTTGGATTCTATATCCCCTATTTCCATGTTGATGTCACTAACACTTCTTTTCTCCAAGCAGCCCTACGTGTTGTTTCTTTATTCTTTTTTAGTATGACTTAGCGCGGGAGAAGTGAAGAAGCAACACCTACCACACAAAGCTTCCTTGAGGAGGCTTGGTTAGTTATTTTTCAAGCTTGCCTTAAATTTGATTTAGATGTTGGCCTCAGGAAAGTGTAGGTTGGTTTTCAACTCCATCTCGCCCGACATTTTATTCTTGAGGGAGTATAGTTTTGGAGCAAACTATTCATTACTGTATTGCCCTAATCCAAGGAAGGGCTTTAGGAGCATTGTTTAAGGGAAGGAAAACGTGATTGACAAGCCACTTTGAGGACTGATATGGGGTAGCATTGCATGTGGCTTAAGTCATCCTACCCCAAGTGGTGGCCTGGTTTGGCCCGTGAAGAAATCCACACAGACACTTCTATTTAAAATTTTTATTTATGTTAGCTAGCAGCATCTGGGCTTCTGTGGTTAAGGTTGTTGAACACAACTCATTATTGAAGAAGGGAAAAGAATATGTTTCTACTTTTGGTTTGAGACATAAAAGAAATAAGCAATAATGAAATAGACATCGAGAATTTTCTCTTAGCAAGTGGAACAAGAAAGGTACAAGAGTCTTTGGAGATTGCTTGGGTAAAGTTAATAGAGACGGGATATCTAGTGATTTACCAACACTTATTTATTTGTTTATTTTTTTGATAAAAGATGATTTCATTGAACAAATGAGAGACAAAAGTACAAAAGTATGCTGGATCAAAAGGCTCTCCAATTGGCATAATTAGAAGTTGAATAGTAATTATAAAAAAAATTGGATTTAATGCACCAAGAAGAACCGCATTGATTCCCAAAGGTTGAAAAAAGGTTGCTCTTTTTTTCTTTAATAAGAAACTGTACTTTCATAATCCCAACCCAAGGGAGATAAGGTATACAAAATGATGGGAGTTGAGACATCCCCACCAAGCCAAAGGGATTATTGAAAAGACTCTCAGTTGGCAGAGATAGGTGAATTTTTAATTACAAAAGTCATGCACAGCACACAAATGACGGCTACAAAAGTTTGGTCATGCTGGTCTTTGGTTTCGTCAGAATTCATTGCTTCACACCAATTTACAATAGAAAACTAATGTTAAATCCTTGCGGACACAGTTGCTGCTTTATATTCCTGTGTCATCTTCAAATCTGAATTACTGCTTTATATGTCTGTGTGGCATCCTTGCTCAATTGTATCTAGTTTGATTGTGTTTTTTCCTTTCGTTTGTTGTATTTCTGTGCTTTTTTGAACTCACTATAAAGTGGATCTCTAACATGATTTTCTTCTCCATATGGAAAATAGGCGTCTTAACAACAACAGCTTAACGGGAACTATTCCAATGTCATTAACTAATGTGAAATCCTTGCAAGTCCTGTGAGTGTTTGCTTATTAATATTATTCCTCAGGACCTGTAGTTCTTGCTGTTTTTATGTCATGTCCATTTCTTTTTTGTTTAAGGTAACATTATCACTCAATTGTACTGCAGGGATCTTTCATACAACGGCCTAACTGGAGATGTTCCGGTCAATGGTTCTTTCTCTCTTTTTACCCCTATCAGGTAATGAGCTTTGTGTTTTCATTGTTTTCTTTCTTTATCATATTACAATAGCCCACTAAGAATTGCTGACCATCCTTCTCTATGCAGTTTTGCTCATAATAATCTTAATGAATCTGCACATACTCCACCACCTCCTTTACCACCTTCACCAACCCCTGCATCAGGTTTGGTATCATACAAGTTTCTTATACTTTTCTTTAAATGTGTTACTTGATATCCGTTGATTGTACTTCATATTTTAAAATTTTACTGATTTTCTTGGCTATTCTGTGTGCTCCAAGTTAAAGAGAGATTTCCAAGCTTCTCAAAAGCTTGGAGGTCTTGAAATTGCCTCGTTGACTTAGTACATTTTGTATTCTACTTTCTTCTCTATATATATATAGAATTGTTTTAGAAAGAAGTGAAGAAAACACATGAAAACAATAAACATACAAAGTCCAGTTAGTTGTCCTGCTGGCAGTAATTGTGACCTTTTAACTTTTTTTTTTAATTTTACATCTGTTAAAATTGCACCTGGATGGGGATGAGCATACTGAGTTGAATATAGTTTAGTTGAAGGCCTATACTCTTTGCCTAGACATCTTAGCTAAATGCTTTTCGCCTGATACCATCCAGTGAATTACTGTTGGATCATTACTCTTATATCTTTTTTACAATATTAATATGTAAAGACATAAGATAGTGTGATCTTTCTCCTGTATTCTATTATACCTTGTGCCTGATTCATTTTCTCTAAACATAATTATATCCAGTACTCATAGCTGCCATTTACAATAACTAGACTGTTCAACTTTGACGTCTAAAAGCAAAGTTGATATGGGTCAATATGATTAAAGAAATTATTTTGGAAATATGGTTGGATAGGAACCATAAGATATTTGAAGAAAAACATGTCCAGTGGTGTGAGAGAGTAGATATTGCTGAGTGTAGAGTTGTGTTCTTTATTTTCTTTATTTAGTAACTACTCCACTGGATATCACGAACCATTTGAGTTATTTTTTCTGGGTCTGAAAGGAGGAGGGGGTAAGTTCTTGTTTTTGTTGTAACTTCTCAATTATCAAGAAAAGAAAAACACATTTCTTCATGGGGGAAAAAAAGATATATATGGTCATTTGTCACTGTTGATTAAACTATTGGCTTGATCTTTCTATGGCGTTATTACCTTCCTGTTCAATTTGATGCATGGGTTTAGGTAATAGTGCCACTGGAGCAATTGCTGGTGGAGTTGCTGCTGCTGCTGCTTTACTGTTTGCTGCTCCTGCAATTGCACTTGCTCTGTGGCGTCGGAAGAAACCACAAGATCATTTCTTTGATGTACCTGGTTAGTGTACTTAGCAACAAAGCTATCAAAATGTTGTGTTCCTACGTCATGTTAGAGGCTTATGTGTTCCATTTCTATTCTTATACAGCCGAAGAGGATCCAGAAGTTCATCTTGGTCAGCTCAAAAGGTTCTCTCTACGTGAATTACAAGTTGCAACAGATCATTTTAGCAACAAACAAATTCTAGGGAAAGGTGGTTTTGGCAAGGTCTACAAGGGACGGCTGGCTGATGGATCTCTAGTGGCAGTTAAAAGACTTAAAGAGGAGCGATCCCAGGGTGGGGAGCTGCAATTCCAAACAGAAGTGGAGATGATTAGCATGGCTGTACATCGTAATTTGCTCCGCCTGCGTGGCTTTTGTATGACACCAACTGAGCGGGTGCTGGTCTATCCATATATGGTTAATGGAAGTGTAGCATCATGCTTAAGAGGTATTGTTGAATGTTGAGTATTCTTTTTTATACCACACAATATAAATAATGGATTTTAAAACTCTGCATAAAGTTGCAGTGGTACAATAAAAAATATTACTCGCTGAGGGGGTCTTTATCTTGTGAATCCGTAATGACGTAAATTTTACTTTATGAACTTTTAAACTATTGGAACTTTAACAGAAAGATCCATTTCGAGATCAGTAAATGAAAATCAACATGTTTTGCACACCACATGATGAATTTTCACATGAAACTCTCGCGTTCTGGTTTTATTTCAGAGCGTTCAGAAACACAACCTCCACTTAGTTGGTTGCACCGAAAACGCATTGCTTTGGGATCTGCAAGGGGGCTTGCTTATCTACATGATCATTGTGATCCTAAGATAATTCATCGTGATGTGAAAGCTGCAAACATTTTGCTTGATGAGGAGTTCGAAGCTGTTGTGGGTGATTTTGGGTTGGCCAAGCTCATGGACTACAAAGATACTCATGTCACAACTGCTGTACGTGGAACAATTGGGCATATAGCGCCCGAGTACCTTTCGACTGGAAAGTCTTCTGAAAAGACTGATGTTTTCGGGTATGGGGTAATGCTTCTTGAACTCATAACTGGACAGAGGGCCTTTGATCTTGCTCGGCTTGCAAATGATGATGATGTCATGCTTCTTGATTGGGTACGTTTTGCCTTACTGCGATATCTTTGGATGATCTTCATTAATATTTTGGCACCTCTGAAAATATGGTTTAGTTTATTAATATTTTTCAATATGAGTAAAACATGACATTACTCCCACTTCATACTAGTACAATAAATTAAAGGGGGTTGGATAATTTAGTTTATTAGTATCTCTTAACATTGCTTCATCGGCCTTTTAGGTTTTGATCATTAAGGCATCATAAGAAGTATATTTTTGTCTAACCACCATGGATTAACTTTACGGGTATATATTTGAACGCCTTAAAGTTGTATGATCCATTAGTGACTTGATATATTAATGTATACAAGATTAAGATTTGGGATCAAGCAATAGATAGATTGTGACAGTAGCTGAGATGCAGTTAAGTAGCTTGGACTCTAGGGAAGTATTCATTTTTATATTCATGAATTGGGACCTATAGGTGAAAGGACTTCTGAAAGACAAGAGGTTGGAAACACTAGTTGATCCTGATCTTGCGGGAAACTATGCGGATGACGAAGTCGAGCAGCTTATTCAAGTTGCTCTGTTGTGCACACAAGGCACGCCTACAGAGCGGCCTAAGATGTCGGAGGTTGTACGGATGCTTGAAGGTGATGGCTTGGCCGAAAGATGGGAAGAATGGCAGAAAGAGGAGCGGTTCCATCAAGACGTCAGCCGCCATCCTCACCCGAGTACTACCTGGATTCTTGACTCTACTGCTGAAATTCCTCCTGATGAATTGTCTGGTCCAAGATGATTCCTTGAAGCCCCCTCTTGTAAGTTCAGAGTGATATATATAATCTCTCTCTTCTCTCTCTCTATATATCACATTTGTGCATATAATTTTCTCCTTTTTTCTTTTCTTTAAGAAATAATATTATCATAATTTAGCTTTGTTCATCTTGTACCTCAAATCTGAGTAATTTAAGCAATTTCTAGAGGGGTTGCTAACCAAATTAGCAACAAACCAGAAGATAATAGCAGCCCCCCTCCCCCTTCTCCTCTCCAAATAACTCTTTAATTTTTGAGAATTCAACTAATTTTTCAAATTTGATCTGATGAAGTGATGTTGCATAAATCTATTGGTTTTAATAATCAAATCAAATTTCCCTTCCTTTACTGCTAATAAATTTATATTACATCACTTTGATGGATTGGATTTGATGAATCATTGAATTCTCTTAGTTTATTTTTCTCAGGATTAGGTTTTGTCTACAATAACAGTGTTTGTATCTTGATTTCTGGAGAACCCAGAGTACATATTATTATAATCATGAAGACTTTTCTTGGCCTATTTTTTTAGGATCTGGTGTGATTAATTTTCACTGAATTGTCTAAATTCCTCCGCATAAATACTCATGAAGATCGAGACCGAAACCTGAGTTACTAATAGTGAGTTTGGAAGTACTTTTGAATGGGCGAATCACTAGTTCTGTAAGCACTTTTGAGAGAAGCATTATTTACACTTCAGAATGCTTTTTGAGATATTTTTAAAATTGTCAAAGTCAACATTATTTGATAACTAAACAATACAGCTGAAAGATATTGGAGAGATGATTTGACAGGAAGATTATAACCTTGAACTGCAATATTCTGTACCCTCAGCGGTGTTTTAATCCCATAAAATTCTTTTGTAATTACAGCTTTCTTATGGTTATTAACAGTTGGGGGTGATCTCGGGCCGTGTTTCCTCGTGGCCGTTCGTTTCTTTTGTAAAATACATAGCATTGTTGTAGGGTGAGACACTTGTCCCGTGAGATTAATCAAGGTGTTCGTAAGCTGGTTCGCACACTCACGAATATCAATTAATAAAGAGCATGATCTTAGAAAGTTAATGAAATGGGGCAAATGAAGTAATTACTCTAATAGCTTTGTTGTTTCATCAGAATTCTGGGTGCAACCTTCTATTCATGATCTACAGATTCTCATTTCACAAACATCAAGATGCAGATGAGTTTTACTTCTGAATCTTCTCTCATATCTTGACTTATAAACTTAGAAAAAAGTGTAAAATGTGGTTAAGAAATATATCATATTGTTTTATTTCTTTTAGTGGTAGAGAGGCGATGATCTGACATTAAAAGAAAAAAGTGACATGTAAGAAATTTGTTGACATTGATTATGGATAGTGGTAGAATTTTGAGCAACTCTATATTTTATTTCAAATTATAATTATAATCAAACTTGAAAGATCTAAATGTTATTTGGCTGGTTCAGTATCCAATCTCGCAATTATTAAACTTGGAAAAAAAACTAAAAATATTACAAATTACAATGATAGTGAGTTTAGTTTAATAAGTCCTTTAACTAAAAGTCTATCAAATAAGTTTATGAACTTTTAATTTGAATTTTAATAATGACTTAATTTTGTGTCTAGGATGATTTTGTCAAATTCTTATCCAATCTTTGACAAATCACAAGAGGGGTGTGCTTGCAAGAAAGTCGTACAAAAATCACATTATTGACTCCATGCAATTAATATTATTTTTTGGTAACTTTTGTCAAAGGAAAATTAAACCAGCATAGTCTTAACTAAAAGATTGTGAATTCGGAATCCACTCCTAAATATTATTGTACAAAAAGAACAATGATTAACATTATTCTACCCGCTCTAATTTGTATTTAATTTCAATGATCTCCATAAATAAGTAAAATGCCTAAAAAATGTATCTACTATTATTATTGCACATCGACGAAAAGGTGTGAAGGATATCGGTGACAAGAAGGAAGCGATGGGAAAAAGAAGACATGCTGGAGACCAAGAAAATGAGAAGGGTAGGAGGAAAAGAGACATGTCACATATATAACTCGTAGAGCTAATATAATTTGCTAAATCAACCAATCTAGTCAGGCCGATCATTTTTCGTCATGACTATTTAAAATTATTTTTCAAATTTCATAGACATATTATCAAACTTAAACATAAAGACCAAAAGCTTATTAATTAAGTCAACATCACTTCTTTCCACAAGTTTGGAGGTTCGATCTCTATCTTCATAATTATTTTATTACCCGGAAAAAATTACATGAATTAATTTAGACCAAAATGGAGGTAAAATGTTACTTCAACATAATTAATCCGACAAAAAAATATTAGTTCAAATTTCAAATCTTACCTTTGGTTTATAATATTCTAAAAAAGAATTAGAGGTAAAAAAGCGATTTACGCAGAAGGAAGAAACGATTCACGTAATCCTTTACCGGAGAAGCGATTCAGAGAAGGGGCAGTCCCTATGATCCTGCCCCACCCTTGTTTCTCAAGCCAGATCTCATCTCTATGCTAAAAAGGACGAAAAGGAAAAAACAACGAACGCTGCCGCCGGTTCTCTTCCCCACCAATCGGACCTCGCCGCCGGCTGAACCTCCGATTAGTGAGTTCTTTCCGTCCAACGCCGGTGGTGGGTTTTGATCGCGCGGTGCCGGATTTGTTTGTTTCAGAGGTAAAAGTGACGGGAAAGTTTGCGGGGTCGGGGTTTGAATGGGGTTTTGGAATTAGCTAAAGAACTCCACTTTTTTAATTTAATTTGTGTTTTTTTTTCAAGAATGACCCATTTGCGCTAAAACCCCTATTTTTCCCCGCATAAATGCACGTCAATGCGACTGGTTATTTTACTCATACTGCGATTTGGCGTCTGAATTCAAGCATTCAACGGTCGAACCTACCCCCATTGCTGGGTTAACTTCCTTCTTTTGGCTCTGGCGGTTGGCACATTTCTGCAGGAATTTTCTAATTTCTCTTTCTGGGTCTTGAAATTCCAGTCAGTTTTTTAACCGCCGTTGCCGGAATTGTGATCTTCCTCTGCTGAATCGGAGACATTTTGCAAAATTTTGACTACCCATTTGTTTTTTGAGGTATGAGCTGCAATTGTTCCTCTCCCCTTCAAACGTCTGCTTTCGCTCCTGTAATTTCTTCAAGGAATCGTTTGTTTTACCAGTCTAGGTTGTAAGGCCGCGAATTATCTTTCCTTTTGGTGTATGTTCAGTCCCTGTATTTTTTTCTCCATGTTCACTTTGTCTAATTCATTCAACTACTACTCTCTGGAGTCGTTTTCCGTTTCCTTTTCCGAATTTATAATCTGGGTTTGTAAGTTGGATCGCGTCAGAGGACTTTTTCCATTTCTTCGTAAACTCGGATCGTATTGCTAGCTAGACTTATATGAATGCGTTTGTAGTAACTCCATCAACTTTACTGGTCATAGACTGGGTTTAAGCGATGGATTTAGGATTTTTAGATCTAGTGTTGGATAGGATCTTGCTACCTGCCAATGAGTCCATCTGTTGATCTGAAAATTTCGATTAACATGAAAGGTTTAAATGAATCACAAGGAAAGAAGTCATAACATATGTGTCAACAATTGGGGTTTGTGACATCTGAATATTTAGGTCTAGTATCTTTTTTTTCAGTTGTCTGCCAATTTATTGTTTGGAAGTCATAAATTATCTATTGATATTAGTTTTAGTGTTTGTCCCTCTTTCAATAAGTTTTCCCCCCGATTTCATATTACCTACAAATGCAACCTGTACTGCTTGCTTAATTTCCCTTATGTGCAAAGTTGTGTGTAAGTGGATTTGGAGCCATTATTTTGTTTACATAGAGAGCTTGGATTCTATTTTATGTTTCATGTCCTAAATTTTTCCTCTCCTTTTTCCAGGTCCTTTTTATTATTTTAAATACTGTTGAAAGATATGAAGATGTTATCAATATCTTCACAGCTACTTGTTTCTGAGAAGTAACAGTTCTCAGAAGTATGCATAGAACTGTTGGTGAAGTATGTCAGTGATGAAAATTCCAAAGCGTTACTGGATCGTTCTTTTAACCTTCATCTGCACTTCTGTTTGTTATGTAGAACGTGTTGGCTTCTCGATTGCATATACTTTTGCAGCTGATGCTGTGGGAGTAGACCAATCAAGCAAAGGAACTATTCTTTCAACATTTTACTATGGGTATGCCTGTTCCCAGGTTCCTGGAGGATGGGCCGCTCAAAAAATTGGAGGGAAAAAGGTTCTCCTGATCTCATTTGTTTTATGGTCGCTGACCTGTGCATTACTCCCACTCGATCCGAGTCGAGTGATGGTCTTAGTAATTGCTCGGTTGCTTGTTGGTGTCGCTCAAGGTTTCATCTTCCCTTCAATCCACACTGTTCTAGCACAGTGGGTTCCTCCTCATGAGAGATCTAGATCTGTTTCTCTTACAACCTCTGGAATGTACCTAGGTGCTGCTGCTGGAATGCTTATCCTTCCAAGCTTGGTGAAGTATAGAGGGCCTCAGTCAGTATTTGCTGCCGAGGCATTGTTAGGTGCCACATGGTCTGTGCTTTGGCTCAAGTATGCAAGCGATCCTCCACGCTCTGAACATCCCAAAGCTGCTGCTGCAGGTTTTGGTGAATCTTTGTTGCCAATCAAAGGAAACCAGAAAGTAAAAGTAGAGAATGGAGGAAATTTGACTCGATCCTCGAAAATCCCGTGGAAGAAAATCTTAATGAGCTTGCCAGTTTGGGCAATAGTGGTGAACAATTTTACCTTCCATTATGCATTATATGTATTGATGAACTGGCTGCCTACTTACTTTGAGCTCGGTCTTCAACTTAGCCTCCAGGAGATGGGTTCTTCTAAGATGTTGCCTTACCTTAACATGTTCATATTCTCGAATATCGGTGGGATAGCTGCCGATCACTTGGTCACCAGGCGAATTTTATCTGTTACGAAAACCCGGAAGTTCTTGAATACAATAGGCTTTGCTGTTGCGTCTCTGGCTCTAATGGCTATCCCCATCTTCAGAACTTCTGGTGGGGCTATCTTCTGCTCATCTGTGGCTCTTGGTTTCTTAGCTTTAGGGAGAGCAGGATTTGCTGTGAATCATATGGATATTGCTCCGCGATATGCCGGTATCGTCATGGGAGTCTCCAACACTGCTGGTACGTTAGCTGGTATTATCGGGGTTGATCTAACTGGCAAACTACTTGAAGCTGCAAAGGCTGCCAATTCAGATCTCTCAAGTCCAGAAAGCTGGAGAGCAGTTTTCTCCATACCAGGGTTGCTCTGCATTATTAGCTCTATTATATTCTTACTCTTCTCAACTGGTGAGAGAATTTTTGACTGAGGTAAGCTTCTTTTTTTCTTCATGGAACTGCCTCGCAAAGATTTGTGATCATCACACCGAGAGGATTTACAAACTTCAAAATGCCAAAAAGAGTTTAAAATGGCATGTAGGATAGCATGAGATCTAATTATTTCATATGCCATATTGTCCCCTTTCTAAGTTACAAAGTTTTTTCTTCAAGGAAATTATTTATGTACCATGATTTAGCATCATTGTAGTTGATAATTGATATTTCTTTGTGACATTTGTTTTGGACAAAATAAAGTCAGCGGAACTACAAATTTGTAACTGTGCACGATATATTGGGCTCATTTCTGATTTCTTTATCTGATTCTGTAGACTTTGATATCAATAATAATGCATAGATAAGGTTTGTTCTATTTCCATTGGGTTTCATGTCTCTGAGATATATCACTGGAAGAATGTAGCCGGTAGTTATATACCGTTGGGTGTATAGGAGAAATTAAAAACTGTATATCGACCATGCATCGAGTCATTAGAAGGGGTGGTGGCTATATAGGAACGTATCACTTACTCTCTTTTCCTGTTGTTGTCTCGCTCTCCTTTCTCCTCTCTTTATGATCATATAGACAATTCTTCAATATTTTTTCTGCGTTAGTCTACTGATCTCATAATCACCCTCCATCGCCAATTATATTCCACAACTAAGTTAGTTAAGTTATTTCATTGTAATTAGACCGCTGATCAACCCTTTGAGACAAAACTAATTTTAAAACCACAAAACCAGAGATAACCGGTTAGAAGCCACCCAACCCGATGTTTAAACTGCTTTTACTGCTTAAACTTTAATGTCTATATATATGTATATAGTCCCTTGTCAATGTCATAACATTATGGAAAGCTAATGCAGGTGTTAATTTTGCATATATCCAATTATATGTTAAAGATAGTGTGTCATCTTCTATTTTTCTATGCCAATTTTCAATTATATTAGTGTAGGGGCTCAGTTGATATTTATGGAAGTACGATGACTAAAATAAATTAAATAAAAGTTGAAGGGTCAGTTAATTAATATGGTAAATTTCACATAATAAATAACAAGTAATTGCTTCAAGTTCAACCTCCATAATAAATCTGATACCTATTTAATAATTCAATGCGCAATTAAAGAAGGGCCATAAACATTATTTAAAAAAAAAACCTTTTTTCCTTTGAAATAGGGAAAAAAAAACTCAGTTTTCCCTCTTAAAGGTTATAAACGTGACTAATTCAAATTAAGTTAAATTATAAGTAAACTTTATAAGTATGTAATAAGTTTTAAATTTCTAATTTTGTGTCTAATGGAACCGTAGAATTTAAAAGTTTCTGATAACTTTTTTACCCATGTGACATTTTTTAAAATTCACGAATCTAATAGATACAAAATTGAGAAGTCATGGTCCTATCAGACATAAAGTTTAATTTCGTGCGCCCTCTAACAATAAAGCTAGGGTTTGAGCCAAAAATCGGTCACCTAAGTTCTACACGTACTGCAGATGGTAACGTCATACTCGCCAGTGCAAAATGACGAATAAGAAACTTGGTGTCAACCTGTCACCGAGAATGACCTATGCCATGTTACAAGAATCAATACTACTCAATACCTAAATTAAATCTAGAAATCTATTCGACACTTTTAAAATTGAAAAATTTATTAGATATGAAAGTTAAAATAATTTATTAGATATATTTTAAAGACACAACCGTATGGGACTAAATTGTAATCGGTCAAAATTTGTAAGCAAAATACTTAAAAGGTTGAGGGCAGAATTGAGAGATTGTAAAAAATAGGATCAGTATAGTATTTGAGAGTCCCCTCCGCGATTGGACCCATTGGCTTCGTCATCCCCCTGAAAGCGGGGGGCTCAGATCAACGCCTCCGTACGGCCATGGACTTCCACCGG